GGTCCAGGGCTAGCGACCTGCGTGACCTCCAGGAGCCCAGAAGACTTCCCAGTAAAGTAACCTCCGGCTTGGGGCCAAAGGATGCGGCCATCGGATGAAGGCCCAAGGGCCATTCATTCCACAAGCTCTGGGCCCCACAGGCTGCCTGGAGCGGGCGAGGCCGAGGCAGGGCGCCAGCACCCTCTCCCCAGCCCAGCCCAGCGCCTGCTTCCATGAGGTTCAGTTCTCAGGAGGTGGATCGATGAGGCATTAGGACAGACAGGCGGCGGGCGATGCAGGCGGAAGGGCGTGCTCACCTGTGTACCTGTGTGTGCTCACCTGTCCTTTTGTCTTCTAGGAAAGCTCTCCCTGGAAGAATTCATCCGGGGGGCCAAGAGCGACCCGTCCATCGTGCGCCTCCTGCAGTGCGACCCCAGCAGCGCTGGCCAGTTCTGAAGTCCACGCCCCCTGCCCCACCCCACCCCCCAGCCAATCCTGGAGCTGCTCGTGAATCCCTTTTTGATTTTAACTTTGTAACCATTTTGCCAAACAATATTTTTGGTGATGCTGTGCCCCCCGCCCCCACGCGGTCCACCGCGCCTGCCTGTGTGACGCCTTCAGCTTCTTTTGTCGTGGACGCTTCGTGGCATGCCTAGTGTGCCAGCGCTTGTGGCGAGCATGGACGTGTGGTCACCCCCAGGCCTTGTGGTGTCCGTTGTTCCGACAATGCTTCCCGTTCTTACAGTTTGCTTTCTTCCGATTTGAATGTCTGTTCTGAAGCCAAGACTTGGTGAGTCCAGGAGGGAACAGGTCACCCCGGTGAGGTGATAGGACCCCATTCGGAAACCCCCGCCTGGGTGGTGGCCGAACACAGCCAAGGGGTGATGGGTTCCCCTGTAAAGGCATGTTACCCTCTGGGGCAAGTCTGTGAGAAGGGCCTGAGGAATTCCCCCTCAGGGGGAGCTCCCGCCACCCTCTTCCTCCGAAGGCTGCCGTTGTTTCTAAGCTGTGAACATTTGGGGGTGGATACATAGAAGGGAGGGACACAGATGGCTCAGCTATTTTCCCCACACGTTTACACTAGTTGAGCTGATCGAGTATTTCTCCGGAAACGCAACACAAATACTAACAGATCTTCCAAAACCAGACCTCCCTCCATCTTGTTGCCTATTGTGATAAAAAAAAAATACTGTACATAAACTATTGGGTATTGCACACCAAATTCAGTATTTGCCTTGTTCCCATGGAAATGCATGTTTAGTGAGCACTGAATCAACCCACTTCCAGACGGCTGTTGTAGTAGCTTGTGGTGAGCAAGCCCACTCTGGCAGAAAGCCTGTCGGTGTCCTGTGTAAAAGTCCTCACGTGCTCTGCCGTTGCAACAATGTGGCCGTCCACAGGTGTATTTGAGATAGTCCAGTCCGACCTTCCTCTGGAATGGTTTTCCCAAGCAGCGCAGAATGCAAAGTCCAGGGAGGAGAGCCTGGGGGGCGGCCCACTCTGCCCATCAGCTCATTGGCAGCATTCGGTGAGAGATGTGGTTTTCCTAAGCAAGGCCCGATTCTGCAAAAACAGAAACACCAAGTGGGAAGTCCTTGGGATCCTCCAATGGCTCCGTTCACAGGCCTGGTTAGGAAGGGTCACCAATATGGCAGCGGGCTTCACAGAGGTTGGAGCGGGCTTCGGACTCAGGGTTAAGAAGGCTTGGTCTCCAAGATCCACAAAGAGCCATTGCTGTTGGTGACGTGTTGGACTGCTAACGCCAAGTTCAGTGGGAGAAAGATGAGGCTGTGTGCTCCTGTAAGATTGACCGCACCAGGAACTCTCTCTCCTGGACAAGGAGTTGGAATCAGCTGGGTGGCATGGGGCTGTTCTTTGAGTACAGACCTGAATTTCCAGAAGGACAGCACAGCACACATTGAGTTGTTCTTGGGGCTGGTGGCCTACAGTACACGAATGGGAACTGAGGCCAACAAGGGGAAGACGCCGATCACAGACAAGTTATAGTTATAGAAAAATCTGGCATGGGGAGACCCCAAGATTCAAGGCTGTATGTATGGAGGGGGGTGGGGGGCCTGCCACAAGAGAAGGCAGAGGCGTTCCCAGGGAGTCTCTTCGTTGGCTGCAGAGCCTGAACCATAGGAGGAGCGCTCTCACCTATCCCAGGAAAAAAAAAATGATACCGGGTCCTGTGCTGACCTCCACTTGCTTGTGTGTGACTTGGACCCATTTTAACTGGCCACAAGGGCCCCAAGTTGTGTGGTTGACCCAAAGGAACCGACTCTGAGGGTT